GCATTAAGGTTGAAATAAAGATAGCTAGCAAGAAAAAAAAAGGAAAAAATTAACAAAGTACAGTGAGATCCCTAGCTCTACAGCACTCCAGTGTAACCCTAGATGGATGTTTTAAATGTACCATTCAAAAGAAAAAATAAAAGCAAAATCCTTTGAGCAGGGTGCCAGGGGATGAATTGGCCTGAAAAAAAGGGTAGTAACTCTAAAACTGCAAGATAATGATGTCCACCTGTCTAGGATGGATGCGGTGAAGAAACTCAAGTCACTGCTCAATTTTTCAAAATCCTGCTCTTTTAATACACCACAAAGAGTGTGATATAATGAGATACACATTCTGGTGTTCAGGGCGAGATCTGAGTAACAAAATGTGGAATCTTTGAGAGACTGAAATTCAGGATTCTAGGAAACATGACTTGACCATCTAGTGCATATTAGCTGTTGAATGTTGAGCATGTTCCAGTCCAACACTAAGCAAGTGTGTAAACACTGGGTATGGTGCTTACAAGCCCAAATGTTAATACAGAGCATGCCATTTAAATGGAAAACAAAGCAGCTTTGTCATTGACTGCAAGATGAACACTAGCTAGTCTTTAGAGTTGTTCTTTAAAATTCATATAATCATCAAATTTTATATGGTATACTTGAAACAGCAGGGCCTGAATTCCAGAGTTGCTTTCATGTAAAATCCTACAGGCTTTTACAAGAGTTGCATGAGCAACTTCACTTTGCTGTGCTATTTGTTAAAAAATGCTACATCTGCAACGTCTGATTTCAGTGACTAATTGTTAGTTTTGTGTTTGGCATTTCTGGAGCCATGGATTATTCCTTTTTTAATAGTGGAGACAAATTAATACTAGTGTTCAAAGTCATTGTGAGACTGCATTCAGCTGAAGAGGCTTTTTGTGTTGCTTAAGAAAGTAGGAAACGCTCGTAAGAAAAATCTTGATCGACTAGTCCTGTTTGTAAATTCTTAGAGGTCTTAGTGAATTTCTTTGATTTGTTCTGTCTTTTTAATGTAATCCAGAAAATATTCATCAGCACAAAAACTCAAAAAACAAAATAAGGAAAGGAACATAGACATGGCTGTTACTGCATCTGTAAAGCAAAGCCACGGTGGTTCCCATACACTTCTTAAAGAACTTTTTTTTTCTTTTTACTTTTCCCCCCAGACCTAAAGATTTTCGAAGGAAGTAATAATAATAAAAGAAGAACTGTCATCAGGAATGTCGTCCTTGAAAAAATTCTAACGTGGAAGCAACTGCGCATCTCAGTCAACCTTTCTACACAGAATGTTTTTGACAGGTGTGAGCAAAGTTTATTTAGAAAGATGATAAAAATTACTGTATTTGAAACAGCTAAGAATGGCTATTATGTTGTTGAAGCCATCTGTATTTTGTGTTGTATGAGCTGGTATTTGTTAATTACATTTGTTTCAACACTATTATTAAAAAATTGATATTAATATTTACATCTCGTGGAAATTATACATAGTTTACTGAAATGAAGTATCTCACTCTAAAAGCTGCGAAACTCAAATTCCATGCAGTAAGAGAAGTGAAAAATTCTGGTTGTAGCGCTCCCACCAGTGTCACAGTGTCAGTAAATAATCAGATTTGCTCTTCTGGAAAAACAAGTGACCATTCTTAGAAGCTTGGTGAATGAGAAAATGCCAGTCCTCATTCAAAAAAGGGAACTGTTAATGTAGAACTGATTCTGTCTTTGGGGATGTAAAATAACAGTGACTTGAGCTGTGCCTAACTTCTATAACTGATTGTGTGGTTCTTCTGAAAGCCTCTTCTGGAATGCAGAGTGTCTGTCCCAAATGAAATTAATGGTGAAATTTTGCTGAATGCATGTCTGTGCAGGCCTGCACTTTCCTTCTCTTTTTAGGTGAGTATTTCCACTGAAGTTACTGTGGTGTTGGTAAGCAAAATCAAACTTCTCCCAGAGCCAAATGTCATTAGAAAAACACAGCTCTTCAGAGAGAGTAGTGCATATACCAAGGCTGTGTGCATGCCTTCTGTACGTGCTGTACTTCTCTTCTGGATTAGAAAAATATTATTATTAATATTGTTAAAATATTATTTTAAAATGCATCTTGAGGGAATGTGGAGGTGATGAGGTTTGTGATGGTAAATTTGTTCTCCTGTCCTATGGGAGTTTATCCCACAGTCTTCAGCCACCTTCTAGAAAGAGCACAACGTACCTTGCCTGAAGTTCAGCCTGATCATTATGACCAAAGCAGTATCTGGTCACCAACCATAATTTTTCATCCTGAAGCTTTGGCTGGCTCTTGATATGGAATACCAAATGGTGTGCTTGCAACACCAAAAAATGAAGCCAAGGGGAAATTGTTTTATGCTTTCAGGAGGCCTCTGCTACATGGACTGTAGTATTTGAGTGTCTGGAGTTGCTTGGATGCTGCAAGAGTGATGTTTCAGTTCCAACAGAACAGATTGCTGGAACACTGTAGAGTAGCAAGGACAGCGTGGATTTCAGCTGGCAGCTAGATTGCATCCAAACAGCAAACCACATTGGTGGGAAAGGTCTACCTCCAGGAACTGCATAATGAATGTAGGCACAGAACAAACAGAATGGGAACTTCTTTTTTTTTTTTTTCAGAATAATCTATTTTACTGTTTTTTAGACTCTTGTTAGTCTGCTCTGCACTCAGTCACTAGTGTGAATGACATCAGGGTTGCATCCTATACTTTCTGACTGCTCAGTGGTATTAAATATATTCCAAATAAAGTTTCGTGCTTGATAGGGACATGTTATGTGGTTGTCAGCAGGAGAGTATCTGTAACCTTTCTGCCTCAGAGAGCAGACAAGCAGAAGACCCTCCATCTAGGCACAGCTTTTGAAACTGGCACACTTGGGATTCACAGTGCTGTTGCCCAGCTAAACCACCCATCCGCAGCTGTGTGGTGTAGTTTCTGAACTGGCTCTGCCTCTCTAGAAGTAGGGCTGCTGGGAACCCTACACACTACAGATTTTGTTAAAGAGCTTACTGAAATAACAGACAGTAAAGACATCATATGGACAACTTCTTCCTTTTTTTCTCTTCCGAAGACCAAATCTGATTTTGATTCCTGCCACAGGAACATGCCTTCCTTCCTTAAAGAATGTATTAGAATGAAACCGCAACATTTTTATTATGAAAACCAAATGAGGAAACTGAAGTTGTGTGGAATGATGCAAAATAAATCTTGAAAATTATTTTTTATTATTTTTATACTTGCCTGAAGTTCATTACTGCTTTTCTGCACAGCTCACCCTCAAGTCAATGCTGATGTGTAAACAAATGAAGCACCTATTGTGTTCTGTATAGTAGAAGATGCTGTCATGTTATCTGCCAAATTTTGCAATGTTTGAGGAGGAAAATTGGCATTTTTCTATATCCATTTTACACAAGAATATAGGAAGCAAATGTTTTATTTATAGTAATATTTTATTAGACAAAATAATGGTTTGGTGCTGAACATGTCTGTGGTGGGAAACTTTCTTATCCAGTCAACATGCAGACTTCATTTCCAAGTCAGTAACCACCCTAATAAAAGTATTTTTTAAAGCAATAGGTTCACTGAATGCTCTGTTCTGTGTAAGGACCCAGTAAATACACTTTATTGGTAAGGTCTGGGTGGCATCAGCTGTTCATCATGTCCTGAATACTTCACAGTCAGCAACTTAAGTTTCTTAGAAAGTTTGGAAAAACATTAGACATTCTGATTATTTAGAGGCTGGATTTTGGAGAAAATGTTGAACATATGTGTCTGTCTTACTTGTTTTGGCAGACATGCAAATCCTGAATAATATTTTTGTAACTTGGTTGTGCTCACCAGGGTACACGCAGCACGAGCAGATCAACAATATGTGAAGCATTCTGGATAGCAGAGTCCCTATGACTGTCATTGGAAATATAAAGCAAAACCACTAACTGGTGCCATAAAAATGTATGCTTCAGTATATAAATTGTTATCAAATTGTAATGAGTGTGCTTACTTTACTGCCCCCAGGAAACCCCTTTGTTTGATTCACCGCATGTACACCCTGGATGGCGTGTGGGGGAGGATGGCTGCCTTGGCAGCCAGTTGGGTGAGTGTCCCACAGGTCAGGGACACCCAATTCCCCAGGAGCAGAAGGGTGCAGTGCTGCTTCCAGCTGCTTTCCTGACTTAGGTGACAAGAGCTGTTGGAAGGCACAGTGTAGGTGACACTGACTGTGCAGCACAGACACACTCAGGGATTTGGTCTGGCTCTTACCATTCATATCAAATATAGGACAAATAACAGCAAATGCCTTATTTTGCAGCATTTTACTATCTCTGTGCTGTCTTCCATGTGTCCCTGCTTTTGCCCTACCACTCTTCCTGGTTTTGCAGTCAGTGAAATACAAAATGAATGTATAAAAGCTTGCCACTTTTATTTGCATACAAAACAGGAAAGAAAGAGGTTCACAATAAATTATCAGCGTGCTCCCATGGAACATTCTTGTGTATTTATATAATGTGGGTTAAAAAAAAATATGATCAATTAACAAGATTTTTTTGCTAAAGTAGTAACTGGGTCAAAGGAAACCTGATCATGCATTGTTCTCTGATGAATTTAGTAGGGTTAGTCAGCTAGTAAAGCAACTCATCCAAAACTAACAGTACATAATCAACTGGAAAAACATGAATTAAAAAGAATTAACTTTCCTGAATGGTTCTAGGTACACCAACTATCCGGATGCGGCTGTTTTAGATACAGTTTGAATAGTTCATGGAACAGTACTCCAGAGAAAGATCTACAAGTGACCATGATCATCTAGCACCAACTCACTAACATTCTAAGTTTCTGGCATGCAAGATAATTACCATTATTTGTTGTGTCAACTGGTCGTGTACATTTTTTTTTTCTCATTTAATATCAGAACCTGTAAACATCTTTCATGACAGGTTGGGCACCTGGAGAAAAGGGCAAACAAAGATGCACACAAAATGTTTCCCTTTTTAAAGCAGTTCATTGAGAAGGTTTTTTCCCATTCGCCCTTTTGCGTACTGGAGTCTTGAGGCTCCTTTTGGCTACATTCCTTGGGAAGCGACTAATTCCTGGGGATCTCAGTTCAACGGCTTCCATCTCTTCTCGAACAGGAGTGAACTCTGGTTGAGCAAGATGAGGTGATGGATAGGAGGACTGGGAGTATGGGGATGGTAAGGGGTATGACCCGTGAACTGCGTACGGCTGTTGCTCACCATCATAAAGGTCCTCGGGGTCATAGATTTGGTAGGAGTTATGTGGCAACTGCACTACTGGGATGTCTTGATCAGTTGGCTCACCGTATCCACCTTAACCCACCACCACCAAGAGCATTCATATGGTTAACACAGGAGAAGGGGAGTAGAAAATTAAAGCACTCATTAGGAAATTGACATTTAATATTTAGATATATTTATATATAATGTGTGTGAGTATATATATCATCTTTAAATACACATCTTTTACTCACATGAAAGAACAGTGAAAACATTTAACAAAATTAATAAGCTGGAGCAATTGGAAACCCACCAACAGACAGCCAAGTTAGTTGGAAACCACCACCAGAATTTGTCAAATGTCCAGTTGTAATACTGTGCTTATTATATACACTGCACGTTCTGCCTGCTTTAGCTTGCTCCAATTATGGTCTAGAATACAGGATCAACAGGCAAAATGGGTCAGGCAGTACTTTTTAGCAGTGCAAGGAAGCTAAGTGCATGTACAGCAGCTAGTCAGTTCATTAGTGGTAGTCAATATCGTTGCTGGAAAGCACAGAGCAGTTCAGCATCCATCTCTGACCTTCAGCCAAATGAGACCTGAACCAGAATGAGCCTTTCACCTTCTGGATTGGTAGCCATTGTAAGGGATGGGGCCTTCAAACAGGAAATGAACAACAGGGAGGGGAAGTGAGGAGGAAAGGACAGGAAGAGATGACAACAAAAACATTCAGGTAAGTAAAACATACAAATCAGCTCACGGGCAGATTAAACAACATCAAACAAATATGCCTTGTATGTAACACTTGTAGTAACTAGTGCTTTACTAATCAATTTCAGTTTTAGGTTGGGTGACATAATTTTGGTAATTGTGTTCACTTCCTCCCCATGGCCTCTCTGTGCTACAACGAGGTGGGAAAGTAAGACATAGAGAAGATTTAGAAAGACTAATTTTCTCCAGATTGCTTCACTGGTTAATGATGGACACGTGCATCCCTGTGTCAGGTTACACTACCAGGGGTTTAGTAAGGATCATGCTCTCATGCCATTCGGAGGCAACATGGAAGAGGAAGTCAAGCAACACAGTTGAAAAACTACAAATGTAAAAAAACTGCTGTCAGGAGCATTAGGAGGTGGGGGATCAACACACAGACTGTTCAGCTGAGGTGGGTCAGGCTTGTACAGCTACACAAACACATACCAGACAAAAACCCACTATGTGGGATCCGTTTTAGAGCCGGGATCAGATGGCAGACTTTCTTTGGTCGCTAGGCTGGGATGATCACTTCATGCTGCAGCCCCACAAAGTGCAGCAGCACTGGACGTTTTTAGGGGGCTACCACATTTTAACACAAGTAGCCTCCATCTTACTTTGGCTGTGAGAAGATGCCCCTGCAGAGGCCCCCCTGCCTCTGCAAACGGCAGCTGCCCCAGCTCCTGGCTACTCACCTCCCATGCCGTAACCAGCGCAGGAGGAGGGATCACAGTACCCTGGTGGGCCAGAAGAACCCTGGGAGCCTGGGGGTCCCGTGTGGCCAGCAGGACCCCGTGGGCCAGGAGATCCTGGTGGTCCTGGGCTGCCAGTTCGACTTTCTCCTGGAGGTCCTGTGTAGAAGAGGGAGATGAAAGATCTGAGCAATGTCTTTCATGGAGCAGTGAGCTGAGGCCACCTTGGCAGACCTGGTGCTTGGAAACTGTGACAGGCAGTGTGCTACAAACACTTCCAGGAGATAGTTTGAGCAGGGGCACTGAGCATCCTGGCTCCCAACTTGCTTGGGCAAGCTGGGGGAAAGGCTCCAGCCTTCCCCTGGCAAGGAAGATGAAGCAGCAGCCCAAGAAGAGACTTGTCAGGAGCAGGGAATTCTCCTCTCTGGCCACTGGTTTGTCTTCCTTGCCAGAGGCAGTTTTTAGCCAGAAATTTATACTACAGCAAATGTTCCACCAAGCATCAGATGTTAGGAAAGACAGTTTCATGGGGGGAGGACAGCCCTGGATGCTGCACAGCTCCTGATTCACCCACTCTCTTTCAATACAGCTTCTGGGTAACACCGTGCCTTGATACCAGTGCTTTAATAACCAGATTAGCTTAAAAAAAATGAATGCAATTTTATGCCTCTTTCAACAGGACCTGGATTTAGCCTTGGAGCTTTAAGCAACCTGATCTATTGAAAGGTGTCTCTGCCCATGCAGGGAGGTTGGAACTAGATGTTCTATAAGGTCCCTTCCAACCCAAATCCTTCTATGATTCTATGATCTCCTTCTCTGCTTTTTCAGGAGCTAAATATAAATCCCTGTGATTAATGTGCTTAATTAATATATGTTTTTCTCTGTCAAGTTATAGTTAGGTATGACGTTGAGTGAATGAGAAAACAAATGTCATTAACCCAGATTGATTTTTAACTCTTCCAGACCCCATCTTTGAACAAAATATTTTAAACATTAAAAATAAGGTTTTGGAGAAGCAGTTTATCACAGGGAATAGGAAAATAATCGTGTGACACCATCACATGTGACAACACAATGTCATATAACACAGTAAGAACATTGTAATGGTTACAGTGCCTGAACTACTGACTCTTCTGCTGCTTAACCCTTAGAAGTGGAGGACGGAGCCACACAGGTCTTAGCTGCTCTGCCCATGGGTCAGAGGGGTCTAGTCCAGATGCGCCAAATGTAACAACTTTACCTGTAGATCCTGGTGGGCCTCGGGGTCCTTGAGTTCCAACACCTGGGCTGCCTTTTTCTCCTTTCTCGCCTGGTAAACCTAAGGAAATAGTACTCAACTGAGTCACATTTTGAACAAAATTCTGTGCAGTGTTTATTATTTTTTAACCAGAATTAGAGTTTCATATGTTATTTTTTATCTAAAAACAGATGGCAGAGAAGGAAGGAGGTAAAAATAAATAAATATTTCATTCTTTTTCCCTCCCTTCCCTGACAGCCTCTCAAGGGAAACATGGCATTCATGGGGTCTTAAACATTCTTGCTGCCATGGTGGTTTCATCGAGGTGGTATGCAGAGGCATCAGCCAGTTTCCAGGCTACAATGCCTGTTGGAAAGCTGCCTCAGTTGTACCAAGGTACAACTATTGCAAGTCAGAAGAATCCTCAGAGCCTTGCAAAGCTGCCATAAATTACTGTGTGGCCCAGAAGAGTCAAATTTTTAATGCAGCAGCCAGTTTGCCTTCAAACATTCACCCACCAAACCCTGGTTCAGCACAAGATGGTTCTATGCATAAACGGGGAGAGTTACTGTGGGTTATTGCAGAGTCTTGCTAAAAACAAGAAAGGAGTTTCAGCACAGGCAAAATCTGCCTCCCCAAAATGAAGCCCAACCTAAGAGGTTCCCAGCCCCAAAACTCTGCTGTTCCAACATGCACAGCCATTTAGTTGTGCTCCCATGTTTGCTCATGGCCCTGAATTTCTTTGGGTCTGATCAATGGAGATCACAGATCTTGTAATTCAGCAAAGGCACAACCTTTTTCCAGCTTTCCATCTCCTTCTGCACTGCTACTGTGGCATCCTATAAAAACACTTTCTATGCACAGCGATCACAATGAGTAGTGTCAAATTCAAGTAGGTGTCAAAACTACAAATTCCAGAACTTGAGTTTCCACTGGTGACTTGGAAACTCTCCTAAAGTATGTGTTTGATTTGGATGGTTCAAAGACACAAAATCCAGACTGGTTTGTGGGACCTTCCCCCCATTTTCCAGACCTCCCAGCACTGGTAATTGCTCTCATTGCTTCACAGCTTCCACACTTTCAGAGTCAAAGCCAACAAAGAGCACCTTCAAAAAAGCAAAGGAGAAAGAAAACAGCTGCTACCCTTGATGGGATAGTATCTACAATTTCAACTGACTGGCCTTCTTCCTTCCCTTCTGCTCAGTTAACTATTACCTCTTAGGGAAAAACATCTGGAAGACACCCCATTTTTGCAAGGAGACACAGCAGATTTTTTTTTTTTTCTTCCTAAGCTAATTTCTGATGGAAGCAAATAAATAAGAACAGACACCTAATTGTGTGTGTGTGTGTGTGTGGGAAGTAATTAAAACCCATCACTGGCAAAGAATGGCTCACAGAGTTCACAAAGTAAGTCTAATGAATTACAGGGGATTTGGTATTCACTGAGGAGTTCTAGGTCTTCTACATAAAAGGTGGCTTCCAGGGCAACACACCAGGTAGCCCAACCAACATGAAAAACACTGCAGTGACATTCTGAGTAGATTGATTTTACCCAAAGCAGGATGAGCTCTTTGTCTTATCTCTACAAGGCCTTTTGCCACTATCCTGGCATAGTTTGAGTGTTTTGTGTTTCCATATTGTATCTTTTATTTCCTTTGATTACAGAATTTTGTTCTTGAGTTAAAAAAAAACACATGTCTTTTGGTGACCAGTTATCATAGAGAAATGATACTTCTCAGCATTTTCCATTAGGGGGTCTCCAAAGCTCTCCAGGTATCTCTAGTAACATGTATTTCACAGGAGAAACATGTTACTACCAAGAGGAGAAACACCATAGAGGAGAAATACCATGGCCAAAATAGATAAGCAGGAAGTGGCAAAAGAGAACAGGTGTGACAATCTGGGTGATGTTTGTACCATTTTTTTGCAAATAGTAGGTATTCTTCTGTTGCTTCCAGAGGATCACAGAATCACACCAAAACAGAGAATATTAGGGCTTGGAAGGGGCCTCTGGAGATCATCTTGTCCAATGCCCCCTGCCAGAGCAGGTTCACCTAGCGCAGGTTGCACAGGATGGTGTCCAGGCAGGTTTTGAATGTCTCCAGAGACGGAGCCTCCAAAACCTCTGTGGAGAACCTGTTCCAGAGCAAGGTCGTGTGTGCCTCATCCCTGAATTTATGGATATTAGGATATTTATACAATAATTACAAAAAATGAAAACTTTGGTTGTCCTTACCATTTTAGTCATTTGATGCCTACAAGGCTGCAGCAGTTTCTTCGGAGTCTTAACATGGCCCCCTATCTATGTCAGCATGTGTTAGAAGCATTACCAAATATTCCACTGACCAGTGTGAGAACACAAGTGCCAGGGTGCTCCCCAGAATGTGCTCTGACCTGGAGACTCTTAACTCGTGCTTCTAAAACATGTTGATTTGATTACCATAGTTCTTCATTTCCTGAAGCACCTGCCAAACTTATTGTCAAATTCTTGCTTGTATCATGCTGAATAGCCAGAATTCTGATCACACATGCTTGTTATTCCCTGACTGGTTCTTCACTCTAGGGATACCTCACAGTGATATACAAGGGCCTGGAATTCTTGTCACTGTAGGCTGGGCTCTCTTTGGCTGGTTTAATACTTTCACCCATGCTTACTATGCCACTCAACGTGAGGTGAGTACGTCCTCCATGGTTTCACATCTTAGGTGAATTTCTCAAAACTACCTGTAACCACTAGTCTCAAAACCTACACAGCTGCCACAAAATTAGCTTTTCAAACTAGCATTTTGTCTTGGCAACAGAATGAAGCCAAGTCCAGTGTGCACAACTCAGTTAAGCACCTACACTCACTCTAGAGTACCTGAAGAGACCAAGTCATTTAGGATAGGTTACAGAAGCCAGAGTGCTAAGGTGGCCACAAGGAATGAAAGAAATGCTGAAGGGATACATGCCATGAATGTACTTCCCTCTGGGAAGAGCTCCCAGAGCTGACTGACCAGGGCACATGTTTTACCTCTCTATCTACCTATCTAGAGAAAGAGGTAAACACGTGCACACTGAAACATGTAAAACTATAACACTGTCATGATACCACTAGTTTATACAAGTCCTAGTCTGGGTAAGAGGCCAGCAGGGTTTCAGGGCCGGTGGTCAATAGGGTTTCAGGGGTCTCCTCTCCCCTTCTCTAGTGCCATTTCATTTTGCCACCACATTTGAGCCCCCTGGAAAAGTCCAGATCTCATTCCACAGTGCAGACAGCAGCAAAAAGTGGCTTTGCCACGCTGAAACCCATCACATGCATATTTCTAGATGATGGCATATAGCTGAAACCCAGAAATCTTGGATGTTCAAGTGCAGACAATCCTGATAATGTGACTTGGATACATGACGGTATGTTCTCTCCCCTACTCAATGGCTCTGACTGCCACCTCAGGGTGCATTAGGCCATAAAAGGTTAAGAAAGCTCCTCAAAAAACTTAGCAGGGAGAGGGAGGTCTTGTTTCAGATCTTATTCCAAGATCTAGTAACCAAAACACAGATGAGGATATTGATCAAACTGGATCACAAGATCATCTGTCAGTAGTGGCAGTCAGGAAGGAAAGGAATACAACTTGAAATTTCCTGAAATTATGTGCTAGCCATTGGGACACATGCTGGAGAGGAACTAGCACCACCATTTCCTCTATCAGGACTCCTTCATATCTAATCTTCCTAGTTTTGATCTTGCTTGCACACCACAGCTTTCTCTTACAACTAAACAAGTTCCTACCAGCCTTTTACAGGTAGATAATGAGCTATCTCTGGCCAAACTACAAGGTTACTAACAGCAATGTGGCCAGGTTGATGAAGGTGTAGCCTTGAGCTAATACAACCTTGTTGCTAAGGATGGGCTCAGCACTCTCAATACAACCCCTCTGGCGACCTCAGAACAACAGAGCAAATCTGTGTCTGACTGCTGTGTACAGCACAGAGCTGCACACCTACTTGAGCTCACAGCTGTACAAAATGCCTGTTGGTCTTCAGACTGGTTTAGACTTTCAGATTATAGTGTGTTCAAAAGGTAAGTTTCAGAAATTTTATATCCATATGCTTTGGTATCCTTAGCCCCTGCATCTCACTAAAGGTCAATGGGTTTTCAGTGTGATTACTCAGGCATCTTGAAATTTGCTAACATCTTTTCTTTTGGGAGTTTTAGCAATGCAATGCATGGGATTCCTGTTTCCAGAAACTCTCTTCCAAGTCCAGTATGACTGTCCTGTTTGCTATCCAGTATTTGGTTGGCAGAGATTGCTGTTTCCTTCAGAAGCACTATCCAGAACCTCTGGTGAATGACTGCAGCCCTAGGTGGCAGATATATGCTCTAACCTACATTTGTATTTCTGGGGGAACCTGACAAAAACAACACAACATCTGTGATCAACAACTGAATTCCACCCATTCTAAAGACAAATTTCCCAGGTAAACCTCTTGTCCTGCATTCCAGTGTTTCCACATACCTGAAATTTGCTTTGCCTTGGCTTCAAACATATGGAGAGACTCCTGCTGCAATTCAACTACTTCTGCTGCAGGCCTTTCACCACGGTGAACTCATCTAAATTGTCTCTTACCACACATGCCTTGTAAGGAAATCCTTGCCATTTGCAAAAGGCAAAGTCTGTACATGTGGATTGCTTTGTTCATAAGATGGACCCATGATAACAATCTGGAACCCAAACAGATGTTTTGTACAAGGACCACTGCTTATCCTGCTCTACAATAACATCACATGGTGAATTCAAAGACAATTGCCACCATGTTTTCAAATCACAGCCTCCCATGCACTCAATCGTTATTATTCTTTACACATGCTAGAATACACACCCATATGTGATGTTCACAGAATAAACTGCAGTAAGAAATTATAAATATGGAACAAATCTACTGAAGCTAAGAACAAAATGTTCATTCTGGAACAAGTTATGAAGCTCTCGTGCAGGCAAACCTTTGAAATCACATGGATATCAAATTCCTAAAGCAAACATACTGAAGGCCAAGATACAAGTCTGCTTCAAGTTTCTTTTAGTCTGATTTCCAGTGAAGTTTACCCAAGTGAAAGAGAACATAAACACTGAAGAAAAAATACACTACTCCTGAGGCAAAACTCACACGAGTTAAAAATTGAGCTTCCCTACTGGACTTTTCATCAAAGCTCTTTAGCAAGAGGAAGTTAACAGATTCACAGATCTCTTGGTCAGAGTTAATGACTCCCATCTATAAATGACCCAACATTCAAAATTCACCCACTTTGCTTTCTATCAAGGTCATCTTTGCATTTCATCAGAGCAAAGTTTACAGAAAGCCAACCAGACCAGACATCACTCTCCAAGTAAGTTACTGCAATTGTTAATCACTCTCAAGGACAAACGTTTCTATCAAACTTTGTCACTACAGTTAGTGGCTTCCAATTCTAGTAACTGTTTTCTGTTTGTGCTCTGGACACACTTCAGCAATGTCATTGAACTGTCTCCCTTTTTACTCTTAACCACTTTTTAATGCCTTGTCCCCATCCAAAATAAGCAGTGGCTTTGGTTCAGCCCCATGGAGACCACAAGCAACTGAAATCAATTATCTCCAACGCTCTGCTAAAGATATCTCTGATAGTTATTAAAAACAAAATGAAGATCATTAATACATTCTCTAGCAAAGACAATTAAATGTACAAGGTTACTATAAGAAAGGAAACCTCAGGTACTGCTTATCTATTTTTTCCTTTAAGAGAATACTGTCCTTTAAGGAGAACTGCATATTGCAATTAAGAAAAATTAAACTGTTACAAAAAATATCCCCTTTCAAAGATGTTCAGTTGTAACCATTATATTATATAACACCAGGTGCTTGTTTTTTGTTGTTGCTTTTTTTTTTTTATTTATCCAGATGAAGCTAAAATTGGAAATAAAAATATTTAATTAACTCAACTGGCAGAAGTTCCATATAATTCTACTGCAATTTTGCTGTAAGAGCGGTAAACAGGTAGCTTTTGATAGCACATGTTCCACTAATTCTTTCATGTGAAGCCAGAGAGGAAATATGGATGAAGCTGTACTTCAGAACAGCGACTTTCCCTGACAGCTTAGGTATTTATAATATTTTAATCACAGTGGGATGGAATGAGTAGCCCAAGTTTTGCACATCACTTCAGAACACATCATAAGAGCAGAAGTCCACCCAACAGTAGAAGAACAACTGCATTTTCACAGCATCTGAAAGGTAGCACTGCTTCAGCATAGTTTTTACTACAGTTTTTACATTTTCCTCAAAGTTGAGAATGCTACCCATGTTTTTTAAAAATAACTGGGAAAAAAAAAAAAAAAAAAGTAGGGAAAACCCACACTAAATCTTTGGGTTTTTTTAATTTGCAGAAGTACAACTACTTCCTGAGAACTCAGAACCAGACACTAGTTTTTATGTCCCAATTCATAAAAATAACATCAAAACAAAAGATGCTCAAACTAGAAGAAACAAAAATAGAAACCAGTGCTGTGCACTAGTTAAAATAAAAATAGAGGAGAATGCTCTGAATAATCCACGTTTGGGTTTGTTTTTTTACAAAGTCCTATATTTATGCAAATATGTAAAACAGCAAAATTCAAGTAGTTTATCTGGGATTATGTACTACAGGAGACTGATAGCACAATGTAGCCCTCTATATCGTTAAATCACTGGGCCAATTCAAATGGCCTGTTGCTGCACCAATAAAATGTTAACAGTGCTACCACATACTGAGATTGCCTGGGACGTTTCTTTTCACATCATTACAAAAATACAACAATTAAGGCCCCACAGTGTATGGCTAAACCAACAATCAACTGGGAAAACTAAATAACAAATGTCAGTGTGATCCTAATCTGTTCACTTATGTCTACACTGGAAAAAATAGATCTTAGCTGGCAACAGACTTTGAGAACTGAATCTGTCAGGATAATGACTTCTCCTTTCTCAGTGAGGTGGTCTTTCTTGGAAGAACCAGCTCAGTGTGTTACTAGTGAGAGAATTCATCCAGGAATGGGACACTCTGGACCTAGAAGTTCAAGTGAAGGTTTCTAGCTGAATTCCAGGACACTGTCTCAGCCCAAACCTTCTTCCAAAATATTTGATTAATGCTTGGCAGAGTGACAAGGTAAACAAGGGAAAATAAGGTATTGGCCAGGCTAGCAGGGAAGTTCACTTATGTCAAGATCCCTCATTGCTGATATTTCCCAGTAAAGCTCTCCTTGGCAAGTGATGTCTAACCAGTTCCACACGCTGCTTTCAGAAGTTTCCTCTTTTGACAGGCTGGGATTGAATGGGTGGTGGAGAAGAGAGCAGGGAAGGAGGAAATGTCCATCTTCCTCCCACCTTTTCTCTTCCCACTCTACCAACACTTTGCCATTCAGCTCAGAGACAGTAAGAGGTTCTTGCAGTAATCCAAATAATTTGAGGGGAAAAAGGAAACCCTCTACTAAATAAACAAACCAGTATTTTTTCCTCTTCTAATGTCTATTGCTTTTTTAGTACACCCAACAGACACTGACGTCACTGTTGCAGTGTATTGTCTCTACTTAAAGGTGGAGGCTGATTTTCAGAGTTGCTAACCTGTCACTGGTTTGGAACATTAAACTGACTTCATATATAACCAAAACGCTGAAGACAACAGCAAAAAGAAACACATAATCCATAAAGACTTCAAAGTGACTGGCTGGAGATCTTCAGGACACAATTATATATTGTGACTTGCTGAACACATCAAATTCCAACAATGCTTCAGAAGAAAGGGATGGAGTTGGAGTTCACTTACCCTCCTCTGTCACTGGAAACTAAAAACCCTTCCATCCAAAAGTAGAGAAATTCTAGTCTGCCACTTCATTGTATGATATGTAGTTAGGAATCAAGTGAGAACTGGTAACACACAAGGAATTTCCAGTCAACCTCCAGAAGCATGACGCTGGTGTAAATACTTATTACTTTTCACTGCTGCATGTTGGGGTTAACTTAGAGCAACTCCTTAGAAATGGATTCTGAAATATCCCAAGGGTCTGTACAACTCAAAAGTCACCTTTGTGTTAAATAAACTGCTCCTACATCAAGTATACTATCAATATAAAATTTCAGTTCCTTCTGAAGAAATTAAGTGCTCAAGGACTAATAAATTCCATTTTTTCCTAGGTTCTGAATGAGCTCTGTCCTCATCCTTCCAGGTTCTGTGAAAGGCTCTGGTTACATTAACGTCCTAAAAGCCATTTTCATTCAAATAAAGCAAATTATTTTGTCTTCAGGTTTACACACAGATTCTCTTTTCTAAAGGCAACATCATTTCAAGCTATAAATACTCTAAAACATTCCCAACATTTGGCATCACATTTTATGAAAATCTGCAGAGTCCTGGCAGACTGATTATAGTACTTGACGTACACTTGATAAGTGCTTGCCCTCTACCAAGTATGAAAGTCCCCACAAGCACTACCTGCCAACATCAATCCCTTCTGACATCAGTTTTCTGTAGAAACAGAAATGAATAATATTCTTTTTAAACATGCTTTTACTCTTTCTGTACTCACTCTACTGCCAATGCTGTTTTCCAGATTTTATCAGCAGTGAGTTAACCCAAACCATGTTTCATTTAAATTACTATAAGAAATCACTCTGTGATTTCATAATAGTACAACAAATATAATGGAATATATATGCTAAATGCCAGGCAGGTTTCACTTTTTTGTAGCCTGGCATTTTGGTTCCTCCATTCCTGAAGGCCCAGCAAAATATTCTGTGTACTTAAACAGGTCCTGCTTGAGAAGCCATTTAAAATACACTAGTAATTTAAGGAACTACCCTGAAATCTGTATTCAGTCTATCTGGGTCACGCCTTTTAAAGTCAGTTCCTCACTTGCTATCTCTTCCAATTTTCTATCCTATTTGCCTCCCACACTCTCATTCCTCCTTTTTCTGGACAGTGTCTGGTCTTTGCTCAGCTGGAGCAGGCAGCAGCACGACTAGGAGGATGGTACCCTAAACCTTGCCTGTTTTTCCCAAGAAGGTAATTAGAGTTACAGTCTTGAGGGGAAGAAAGAACCCAGAGACTCAGAAGTTCACTCAAAGACTTTCTTTTCAAAACAATGCTTTGACTCTGGTCATCATGGCTACTGTGAACTGGAACTGTTAAACTCCTGAAATGAACAGCCTTCATAGCAATTAATTTTAAAAATCCCATTTTAGATTTTGTAACAGCAACACCAATTCCTCACTCTTGAATATCACATATGTCTCTTGAGTTTTTGGTCATGTCCTTGTGTGATGGTCTTCACAATGCTGCTTCACAAGCACCTTCACAATTACAGATCAACTCAGTACTACCTCTGTCAGCACTACTCTGGAAAAAAAATCCTAGTTTTTCAACCCTGCTCCCTTCAGACTATCACAATTTAGAAATCCTGAAACTGACATATTTAAAGTTTTGCAGGAAAGTTCAGTTTTTCCCCAAGGCAAATCTCTCAGTTTTGTAGCTGCCGTTTCCAAAAGCTCCTTTGCTTACACATTCACAGGTTCAGCTTACTTCGGAGTCCTACCAAGCATGATGTGATGTGATGCACCCAATGAGATGACACCAATCTTCAGCAGTTTAGGCATTTAATCTCTGTCTGATCCTGACAAATCCTATCTGGTAAAGGCAGCATAACCTGCACAAGTGAAAGTCTCCAGAGCTTTCATCACGGCCTGTGTTGAGCTCATCACTCAACCAGTGACAAAGCTGTTCTCACATTTATTCAGGAGACAAAAGCCACTGGAATGTATCAGGAAAGGGAGGTATGTTTTTTTGTATGTGAAGTATGAATCCTACCTCTTTCTCCTGGTCTTCCTGGTTGACCAGGACTTCCTGGAAATCCTTGCATGCCTGGTGATCCTTGTTCACCCTGTGGCCCTGGAGACCCTGGCCTCCCTGGCTCACCAGGAGGTCCTGCGATGGTTCGTGTTGAGACAGACTGGCTTGGAATCTGGTTCAGAATTGAGTTGTATCTTGCCATATGACCTGTCAGGAAATAATGCCCTTATTTTCAAATTGCAGAGGAGAATCTGGTTCAGCTAAGTTTGAACAGAGCACTGGTAGGCTCAGCCTCTGTTGTGCTTTGATAATATGAAGTTATGCTCTTGTTGGTGGAGAAACAGTGGTTTAGGGAGTATACAAAACCAGGGAAGAACTATTGTGCAGAATTTTATTTCCTTGTTTTGAAGGGGTTTGTGCTTCGCATTTTACATCTATAAAATTTAAATGGTTACAGCAGAAGCTTCAGTATACTAGAATAGATTGGAGACAATTCAGGCTTTTTTTAGATGACTGATGCTAATCAGCTCTAATTGGACATCAGTCCATTTGAACATAAATTTAGTCAGAACATAGACCCCGACTGTCTAGCCTAAAATGATCCATTCTAGAGACAGAAACTGTTGATGGACTTACCCTGGATGAGTTGTTCACACACTTGCCGAGCAACAGCACGTACCATTGCTTGGGACTGGAGATCACCCTAGGGACAGCAACAGCAGTGTCAGAACACAAATGTTTGCATAATTTCAGTCTTGAAAACACTTGGAGCAATGAAAGACATTTATTATCCCTGAGATATTATATCCTTATAGATGAGAAAAAGGGCCAAAAAAGTTTTGGGATTTCCCATTACTGTATTTGGCCAGCAAACAGCGGTCAGAGAAGATTACCCTAGTGAGAGACTGGGGGACATATTTAATGCTACGTACTTCTCACCTTCAAAACATTACTGTAACTGTGTATAAGACAATATCTGGAAAAGAAGGAAAGTGTGCCTGACTGCACAGAGAAAATTACTGTGCCTGCAAACTCAGAGAAACAGAAATTGTTAGAGGAAGCTTTTTATGAGATAGAAGATCAGACAGGAACATGGCTCACATAACCATAGACTTACCCGCTCACCCCTTTCGCCCTTAGCTCCAGGAGGACCCTATGAAAATATTCAACACAAAATAAATTCTCATTGTGATCTTCCTCAAAATTATAAAGCCTAAAGTCTTCCTTGCAGATCACACCATAAGGAGAAAAACAAAACGAGGAACAAATTTCAGGAAGCTATGTGACAATAACAAAGATATGTTTTCTATTTCGGTATTCAACAAAATGTTGACCTTTGGCAACTACTTGGAGACAATTACTTTCTTGGGGGTTTGTCTCATACTGAATTATCTCGTTTAAAATGTCAGCAAGAGCAGGCCACCACATGATGCATTTCACATGGCTGGAAGAGGTCTAATCATCACTGAGTATGAGGAAGGCTGATGGGAGACAAAGCATCATGTGTAGCATATGCTGCACTGAAACTCTGCATCCGCTCTGAATATAGTCAGCGTTGGGATTAAACTGCATAGAAAATTAAGTATGATATTAAAGATAACATAATACTCTAATGGTGGCAAGGATCATTATGGATTGGAACAAGTTGTCTAAGGCAGTTACAGTTTCACCAATGGAAGTTTTTGGAGTAGGCTAAACATCTCAGGAACATCTGAAGCGAGGAAAGGGCTGCATGAAGAAGCAACCAGCTGACTGATGCATGGTTAAAGCACAGCTTATTCTATTCTGGGAAGGAAGAAAGTCCTACAAAGACTGCAAGATTATTTCTAACTCTCTTCTCTACTACTCTACTTACTGGGAGAGACAGTTACTGAAATGGAATAGTTTTTTACCAACCCTAGATGTTGTTTTTCAGAACTACAAGAGTCTAAACATTCACAGCAGAGGTCTCGCATGACCCACAGAAATATCCACACTCTAAGAAATTTAGTTCAATTATCTGGAACGTGTGTTTGGACAGGAACTGAACAGTCAGCATGTTATATATTAATAGTAATAAGTTCCATAGCTCATCAAATCTCCTTAGCAGATTTCATGATTACACTTAGAAACTATGCAGAACTGGGCATTAGGTTATCATCTTTGCTTATATATTATCAATCATTTCATTTCCACTTAACCAAATAAAAATGCTTGTGTTGGACTGAATATCCAAATCTAACTGGATTTTGAAAAAAAAAAAGTAAAAAATATTCTTCAAATCAAGTCAGAAGTACATACTGTAACAGTCTGATGCATTTAAAAATAAAATAGAACATTCACAGGAAAAAAATTGACCAGACATTCTAATTAACCACTTAGTCATTTGTTTAAATTTGAATACACAATATTATCTGAACTGTTACAGAGAAAAAGAGGTTCCTCTTTGACATAATTTACACACTCATTTTATAATTGTATTCCTTTATTCTTGTTAAAGTGGGTTGGGTTTATTTTAATAATAAAGAAAATAATAACTTGATTACAAAATCACCATTAGAGGTTCCTAATAATTATTTTCAGAACTGAAGATTAATTTGCTACCCAATGGACGTGATGGTCAAATTTAAAATAACACTCTAGGAGAAGTCCTGATCATTATTTGTAATGTAAACCCAGAGTCACCAGGAAAGTCAGGTCTTTTTTATTCATGCAATGTTTTCACAGTTTGAAACTCAGAATAATACTTTGGAAATATTCAGGTTAATAACTGGCATACTTCAATTTCCTGAGAGTTGCTTGAAGGGCAAGGAAAAAAAGGAGAAACCAATTACACACAGACTACAAATTCCCATACTGTTATGTTTTTCACTTCTCTGTCTTAATCTTGTGTTTTGACTCTCTAATCCCTATATTTCAAATGTCATATGTAAGATCAATAAGTAAATTTAATTATGAAGAATAAACAAAGACCAACAGGGTATTTCACTTAGCCAGTAACTGCAAACAGCTCATAAGCTATAAATACTGAGGAGCTCTGTAGAACACTGAAGCCAGGATCAGAAACCAATTAATCTACAAAAATATAGCAATATTCATAATTTTTACTCACAGGAGCTCCAACGTCACCTTGTGGACCCTGGCTTCCAGTAACACCTGGAACACCTGGAGCACCAGGTATGCCCTGTATGGAAAAAAAGAAAGAAAATACTTACTGGTGATGACAATCAGCAGCCATGAATCCTGATAAGAGAAATAACTGCCTAATGGAGAGGAAGTTCACAAAGCAGACAGAACACAGACAGTTCTGCAAGTCAAAGAATGGAGAGGCTGGGAGGTTGGACTAAGTAGTACATCTTGCAGGAAAAAGAGCACTGAAAGTGAAGCTCTGAGAAAAGCACTCACAAAAAATGGATTTGTTGCTTGCTTTCTGAAAGAGAGACAGATTGCTGAATGGCAAGACTAAATCCTGTTGATGTTACTACCGTATTCAGGGGACTGACTCAGAAAATTCTTTGTAAAAAGAACAGGATTCCTTGGAGGATACTAAGTATCATCAGCAGTTTCACCTAGCATCTTAAACCTACTAAGAAGGCATTGACTTTGCCTATCCGAGAAAGATGAGACTGATTCCAGAGGCCCTCTTGCTTTGAAGGTTGAATCTGACCTCTACTATCTTCCTTGATTGAGTGCATTTGATTACCTGCACTCACCTCCAGATCAAGCAAATTTGGCAACTCACTTCTTACCAAAGGAGTCTAGTTTAAAATGCTAAGGGAACCAATTCCCTTTATATACTGCAGTTACTTGACTAACAGCAAGCTACCAATCTACTGATGGAATAACTGTCTCCCCTTCCTGTGGGAGACATTTTTGCTTGAGCTAAGTAAGAGTGGAGAGAAATTACACTAGATAAGCAGCTCTCTGCCAAGCCTGTGCATCATGAGAATTTTAACTTCCAAGGAGAACCCTTGGCCTTAGTCTATCCGCTGAAGTCTAGATAACAGAGTGACCCACAATCCCCCAAAATCCTGCTGACTTTGACAGTAACAAATTCCATGGGCAATACTCACCACTGGGCCAGGAGGTCCTTGTGGGCCTGTGGGTCCATCTTTGCCAGGAAGGCCCTATAAGAGAGAAATATATGCAATTTTATCAGCTTTTTATATGTACCTTTGGAATCTGTTCCATTTAATGTAGAAGACTTTTTTTTCTTCCCCTTTTTCTTCATCTTCTCTTAAATTAAGAACCGGTGGCAGTACTTTTTTGGAAGCAAATTCCCTTTTTTGCCCTAGGTGAGTTTATTTCTAACAAGGAGCTATAGCACAGCTGATATTTTCTTTCAAATCCAACGAGTCTTATAATACTTTTGAAGGAAGAAGCAGCAAAACTCTTTATACAGGCAATTTTTACCTCTGAGTGAATTTCACTTACAACGCTGCTGCAGGGAGGTAAATGAGAGCGTTTGTTGTCAGGTTTCCCTGTCACAAGATGGGTCACACTTCTACATCTGTTCTCACTGGTTGAAACTATTCAAAGTCCCACTGATGAAGTGCTGAAAGATGACAACTGTGAGCCTATCTCTCTGTCCAGTAC